AAAATCCAGCATCAGCTGATCCCAAATATGTCCTTGTCCTACTCCTCTGTGGTTCGCGGTGCACAATATGCTATGATGTGACACGTTGAAAAGCTTGCTTTCATGGCTGGATGCATTCTAGTCCTACCCCCTGCATGATGGGATAAGGAACCACACTGTACTTGTCGACACAAATAGGCACTACTGAGTTGACAGCTAAACTCCAGCTTAGGGCAAGACAGAGATGTTCCCTCAGTAAGGCCAGAAAGCCATCTCTCCTTTGCAGTGTTGCAAAGGAAATTAACTCACTGAATAAAAATCTGTGAAACTGAAAGCTCCCTTTTAAAAACCCAAAAAACACACACACGTGTGTTTATGGAACATCCATTTTAGCCAGGGCTTAGTAACAAAAAGCAGAGCACCAATCCAGCAATAAGCTTGGTTTTCATGTTAAAAAGTCACATATAACCAAAATAAGCCACCTGCCTCAGGAACCTCACTCTTCTCAGGGACTCACTGCAGCGCCTGCAGGAACACTACACTATGGCTATGTCAGATTGCTCATGCCTGGCTGGAAAAGGAATCAGCAGACACCCGATTTTACCTGTTACTGGCATTGTCACCCTATGCCCAGGTGACACATTTCCGCTACCTCTCAAAGAGCTTTCAGTGCTGGCTCTCAAGGCTCTCTGGCATTTCAAAGGAAAGACGACCCAGCTTTTGCCAGTGCTTGTGGCAAAAGCAACTTGATTTACCGGAAGACTGTTCATTGTGCTGGTAAATGCAGACTCTCTCCTGAACTGCCTAAACTTGAAGGGGGAAAGAAAAAATACAGTAGTATTAAATTTAGCCCAGAATACAGTAGTATTAAATTTAGCCCAGAAGAGAAACAAGTAACCCAGGTTATTCTAGGCCAGCAACTCTGTTACTCCATTGACCCTGGGAATCCAGAAAGAAAAGGCACATTGAACAGCTTGTGGCAAAGCACTTCCTTCTGAGGCTTTTCAGGGTGTCTCTCCCCTTGCTCCCAGCTTCCTAAGCAAGCACTCGCATTCAGATCATAAAATCTCCAAACTCTCATACACAAGTACAGCAATTCACTTCTTGAGTACCTCCTTCTCACCTGCAGAGTACCCCCTGCAGCCTGGTGTTCGTGACCCAGCAGAAGCAACCTCAGGTCAGCAGAGATGCTGCCAGCCACTCTCTCCTCTTACAGTTTCCAGAAAAGAGTCACCCCGACTAATTTTAAAAAAACAAGTCACCCCCCTGCAAATGTGTCCTGTACAGCTGAAGCTACCTGACTCCAGAGCTCAACTAGTTTCTCAACAAGATCAAAAGCTTGTGCAGTTATTCAAGAAGCTTTTCGATTACTCCTCCAGTTTCTATCATGAATTATGGCAGCACTTGAAGAGTGCCAAAACCCAGAGGGATGGATTACTCCTGCCCTGTGACAGGCAGCAGGCCGGGGGCAATGGGACGAGCTGTAAGCACAGTGGCATTACATTATGCACAGATACAGTTTTGCTGCTGAATGATTGACAATAACTACTGGATGTCACTATTTTAAGGGTAATGTCATTTGCATAATTATCTGGCAGGGTGTCTCTTCAGCGGCTGGCATTATTCACAAGGGAAGAATGAGACTGAAACCCAGCTGTAGAGTAAGTAGATTTGCTATTCTATGCAGACAATCACTGTGCTTTAGAAGCTGGATACACACGGTATATATCACTAATTTTCATAATCTCAGGACCCAGAGAATATTAAAATTACACTGCTCCTCTGTTTCACTGTGCCACATATACCACATGATTTCATACTTAAAAATAATTTCATATTCTCTGTCCTCACCTGACCATCTGTTTCTTACAGGAACTCAAACCAGGAGGAGAAGGAGAAGTTGCTTTTACTTGACTTCTCCTACCCTCTCACTACCAGAGAGGAAAACGTGCCCTGCACAGCCCCCAGCCCTTTAGCCTCTGTAACCCTCAGCTATTCTGGTTTTAGGGTGTTCAGACCTGGGTTTATCTGACATGGGAGGACACATACTAAACACAGGACTGCACTGCTTGGGTTAAACTATGCAAAACCCCAAAACCAAACAGCATTTGGCCCAAACTACTGTCTGAAGGGTACTAACTGAGCATGACTGGGATTGGAATGGGTCCCATCCTGGACCCAGTTGTGGGTCCCAGCTGTACAAGTGTAACCAAGCAGCAAAGACTGAGAACTGATGTTATTCTTTGCAGTGCTGGCGTGACACACGTGGGACTGAGCCAGGCTACAGCAAACCATACCCAAATACGAATGCTTTGCTGCTGGAGCCCAGGTGATGGTATGCCAAAGAAAACAACTGACTGTTCCTCCTTTCCAGTGCTATGTGCGAGAGGATGCCAGAGGTGTTCTGCAAAGCACGTCAGAAAGAAACCTTTCTGTCTAACCACACTGTCTCAGTGCTGACACCTCTGTGCTCCAGCTGTCCTGTTCCACCCAGAAGAGGTCTTGCTCTGCCCCAGTGCATATGGAAGGATGCTGGTCAAATGGTCACCTTGGCCAGGGAGGTCTCTGCACAGCAGACTGCCTGTCTGGTCAGTGCCTTGTGGCTTGAGCTGATAGGGGAGCACTTTGGCAGTACAGAAGGGAAAAAATATAATCAAACTGCCCTCCTGAGTACAGAACACTGACAAATAAAAAGAAAGTTGTGTATAGGAAATAGCTTTCTGAGAACAGCCTCGAGACCTGGGAGCTGAGGCTGATGCAGAGGAGCAATGATGCTCCAATCCTGTTGCAAACGAAAAGATGCCAGACAGACAGGAAAGAAAAACTCCTGCTGTAGGATCATGGCACGAAAGAAAAGACTATTAGTGGCTGAGCTGAGTGGCACTGGACAGGTATGTCAAAAAGGTAGGGTTTAAATGCAGGCTTGTAGCTAATACAGGGAAAGAAAGAGCCTTGGGTGTAACCAGCGCATATTGGCCTTTAAATAACAATGCACACAGTGGCAAAAGCAACAGCTCCTTACATTTACCTCCCAGAAAACTTAAGAAGGTTTCACTTAATGCCCCTCCTTTTGTTAGCAGTTTCAGAAGTGCTCTCCAGCAGCAGGTCAGGCCCAGAGCAGCACAGCAGAGGCTTCCACAGGTCAGCAGCTACCACCCAGCAGCTGTGGAGGCACCCAAGGTGCAGAGAAGGGGCAGTTCTGGGGCTGATACAAACCAGCCATGTGAATTGACACCAACACAAAATCTAGCCCCTGTGCCTTGGAAGGAAAACTGGTTTTCTACATGCCTGCACACACATCATAGGAAGACCGTTCCCAAAATTTCACTCCTTCCTGGAATCCAGTGCACCTCAGACAGCATGCTGGTGCAAACTGGAGGTAGGGTTATCCCAGCTGACAACTTGCTCCTGGCGGGCAGTAAGTGACAGTTGTCTATTCAAGCAGAAACCCCAAGCCATCATATCAGCTGTGTGGGTCAGACAAAGGGAATGAATGAACGAATGCTTGCAGAGCTCACCGATAAATGATGCCTCTCTCATGCAGAAACATGAGGGCTGAGATAATTTCGGCAGCATAGAATCGGGCTCGATCTTCGTCGAAGCGACGCGACTTCTGAATGTGGAACATCAAGTCCCCGCCATTGACGAACTCCATCACAAAGAACAGGCGGTCCTGCACACAGACAACAGACATGAGCACCATTCATCACTTCCTCTGGCAGGCTTAGAGAATTGTTAGTAAAACTATTATCTCCCAAACAAAAACAGATTAAGCACCCATGAGATATTGGAGTGGGAAAAAAAAACACCAACCCTGACTTTTTCAGGAAAGATTAAGTCAATACCAGGAAGATCTATTACTACTTCCTTGCCCTGCGATCCCCCACCCTGAAATTTTGACCCCAGTAATGAAATGGATTCCCATTCTTGTGTGGATTAGACATATCAGTAGGTATCTGCTCATCACTAACCATCTCCTGGAAGGTTTCTCAAACTGTCCTTAGCCTGAGTCAAAGAGGATGATACCTCTGAGTGAGGACAAGAGAAATCTGTAAAAAGCCACTTGCTCCACAGCAATACTGTCCTGAGGGCATCCCAACAGAATTTCTGGAGAACACAGGCTGTTTTTCAGAATGGGATTTCCTGCCATACACTTGTGTGGCAGCTGCCTTCGAGGCCCTCGGATTTCAGCTTTCATCTGATTAACCTGCAGAGACCTCTGAGTGATGAAGGAACTGATAAGTACCAAGTACAAACCAAAGTTTATCTTGGGTAGCAAAGCAACCTGTTCAATAAAGTTCAGCTCATTAACCACAGCTGCTGCTCTCTGAGGTTTCTTTTTTTGGCTTTGTTCTGGTTTCTGCAAAAGTCTACAGACAGAGAGGCACTTGCTTAAGCTGCCTGCTCAACTGTTTGGGTATGGGTTTAATGTGTGCAAAAGGGGTGCTTGCTTAATTGTGAGAGAAAGGACATGCAGTGATTAACCACAAAACTAAACCCTAGAATTGTTGCAGGCTGGTTCAAAGATTTCCCCTAGTAATTGTTTCAGGACATTCAGTACTGATTGTTTCGATTTTACTCTGAGTATCAGGAACAAGCAGTATGGAAAAGAGGCAAACAATTCAGTTCAGAGCAGTCAAGCTTCTAAGGGCACTATTTGTACTTCTTCCTTCACAAGCCCCTTCCCAGGTCTGATGTTATTATCTACAAGCTAGTTTTAAACCTTCCCTAAGTTTAAGAGGATAAGCATTGTTATGCTCCACTTTCTGGCAGCCAGCCAGCTTGAAATGACTACTGGTATTAGCATCTTGAGATGCACACAGCAGAAGTAAAGCAACCTGGAATCCTTTCACTCCTCTCTGGACATAAGCAGGAAAGAAAATGGCCGGTGGCAGATGAGGAGAACTTGCTTTTTGTCATCATCCTGGGCTCTGCTCAATGGCTCCCTCTGGGCTCCTTCCAGAAGCTAAGACAGACATGTTCCCAGCAACCTCACAATACTGCTGCATGTAGCACCAAGGCCACATGTTAAGTGCTGTCTCCAGTCCATATAAACAACAATACTTCATTGTTTCACTCTGCCTTTACTGCAGAGCAGCTGAAAGACATGCAAGCTGGCTTGTCTATGGCAGCAGCCTAAGGCAGAGCAGCACAAACCCTAAAAACCCACCAGCAACCTTGGCTCTTCAGCCCACATCAGATCTCTAGTGCCACATCTTTGCTGCAGTTGGTTAAATCTGGCTGTGCCTACCTGTTCAGCAACCCCTCCTCCGGCTTAAGTACAGATATCACCTCTGCACTGCCAGTCGGGCCAGCTTTTACATCTCCTTGTTATTCTTTCCCAACTCCTTCCTCAATGATCCCTCCACTTGCCACGTGCTTATCTATCCCAGCTTGCCCAGGCATCTCTTCAAACCCCTACTTAAAAAAGAAAACCCTCTTGACAGATCTCCAACAGGAAGTAATTTAATTCACTGGCAACCCGATGAGGGATGTGTATTTATGTAAGTTAAATATGCTTGTATAAACACGCATACAGTCAGGTGAACATGCATAGATTTTCTACACTTCCCTTAAAGGTGAGCTTCAGGGAAACAAAGTTAACTCTTCCTAGCTTAAAACATACACATCCTGCTTCTCTAGTGCTGGCAAAACTCCACAGCCCATCTCTGACTTCTCAATGCACTCAATACTACCTTGATTACAGAAAGATCCTGCTACTTCTTTCTCAAATATTCAGGCTAGCACAGAAACAGACTGTTTTAAAATTCACATCACTGTGGACATTGAATTAGCAGATTTTTTTTTTTTTTTCTCCAAACAGCTATTGCTTCAGCAGCCTAACTGCAAACCTGAGCAAGTCTCATTGCATGTGTTACAGGGTGCTCACAAGTGTAACAGCTCACACCTCACCGCCACCCATTATCTCACTTCACAGGTCAGGCATAAATACAGACTTTTTAAAATACTGAAGCTCTCCTATTTAGGTCTAACAGAACATTGGACTACTCAATTTTTATTTTTTAAAAAAGCGATCCAGGTAATTGTCCATCCCGTTTCCTAACACTTAGAAATCCCATGGGGCTGCTGAAATAAAGAGCAGGATGGATTAACAACTTGTTTATAACACAGCATTTGTCCACTGGCCTGTTATGTACTTGGCAACAATTATTAGCAAAATCAGCACTAATGGCCACCCTTTGGGGACCCGGATCCAAAAGCCAAGCAAGGTCATCCATTTTCACTCTTAAGCAAGGCCATCTCCTTGCCAAACTGCAAAGACCAACCACTCTTCAAGGAATCACTGAGAAGTGAAAAGAATAGTGCTATTCTACCAAAAAAGGGAATTTGCAGCAGGCAGAGTAAGAGTGAACATACAGTTTAAAAAGGGACCAAGAAAACGAAACCTTAAAATAGCAAACAGTTCAAATTGTGAATTTGATCTGACTTAAGAGTTACTTGCCTCCTTTCTTAGGGTCTACCAGTGGGAATTAGGAAGGGTTGGAAAGCTGGAGTGTTTTTTGACAGAGCTTAACACGGAAGTCCTCACATTTCTATTTTTCTATTTTGCATTGCTCAGAAGTCTTCCCTGATCTGCTATCTCTGCTTGACATTGGCAAAAGTAAGAAAAAGCATTTGAGTCAACAGGAAGGGGTGACGTGGGAGCCTTCGCAGCAGCACCTGCCCGCCGAGGAAATGGCGCTGCACCGCTTCGGCACCAGCATGGAGGCCAATAAAGCCACAGAGCAATTGTTACTGTAAACTAAAAAAACAAAACACTTGGAGGAAACAACATTAGTGGGATCAGGTGGGCTCATTTCAAGGCTGGCCTACATCTAGAGACTAGCCCTGTCAATTTCAGCGCAAAAGAAGTCTTTCCGTTTGTTTGGGGGTTTTGGTTTGTTTAAATTACAGCTTGCCGTCTGTGTTTTTTCACCTGCGAGCAGGGCAGGGGTTGTTGGAAGCACAGACTACATCCTAAGGACAGTGTTTGACAGCAGTTACATACACCTGCTTTACTTGCCTGTTGTCTTAGTGGGGTGTTGGTGCAGCTTGAAGAGAGTCCCTGACTGGAAAAGCCACTGGGTGGGACAATCCATGTACTGGTGACTGCCCCTTGCAAACACAAGCACCCGCTGAAATCCAACTCAAACATCACTTTAGACCTCTGTCCTCAGCAGCTATATGAGCAAATTGCTTTGAACCCTCACACCTTGCTGCTTCACCATCAGAGGAAAAAGAAAAAATAAATTCAGGATTCTATTAAAAGAGCATCCTTTCCCTCCCCATGACCATGAAAAGCCAGTGTGATGGCTAACTTCCACCTCCTTCTAGTTGATGTCCATGTACAACCCACACTAAACCAAAAACCTCTGAAGACAGCTAAGGTGAGAGCCTTATCTCCAATTAGCTTTCATGCTACATAAATGGGACAGGGCAGCACCACTGCCCCAGTTCAGGCAGCATGGAGGGAGGAGATGGGGAAAGACAAGCATTTCCCATGTGCAGACATGGAGAACATAATAGGCAACTTGTCTCCTCTATCCACTGCCTTACAAGAGCTGCTGTGCCAACAGCAGCGTGGTGGCCAGAGGGGACTTCCCTCAAGACAGTCATCAGTAGAGGTTTAGGAGATCCACTGGAAAACACCAACGGGGCCTCTCCAGCCTCCAGAGCCACCAGGAATGGGCTTGGACAAGTTCTGCACTTCCTTGTCACAGCAGAAGTCTCCCAGATGCTGCTTCTGCCTCTGATTCCTCTGCAAGACAAGGGGCTGAGCTGCCCCACCAAGGATATGCCCCAGCAGCAATTCCACCCCAGCCTCCTCTTTAGCAGACAGTTGCCAGATAAAGCAGCATCTGGAGGATATGGAGACCTTGTTAAATACAGTTTAGAGCAATGGCTCAACTTTCCCCACAAAAAAAAAAAAAAAAAAAAAAAAAAAAAAAAAAAAAAAAAATACATCTTAGCTCAGGTATTCCATGAATTTTGCATTCAATCTTTTTGGAAATAATTGATGCACACAACTCCCTAGAAAATCTGCTTTGGGCTCAGCTGGAGCTCCCTGAAACCAAAGGGTTTCCCCAAGAAAAGAGTCAGTTGTCAGTGTTTTGTCAGCCTGTGCTTTGCAGAGGAGGCAGCAGGCTGTCAGAACTCTCTCCACACAGAGACAGCTGTGTCTCCACTTCCCGGCCCGAGCAAGTGCATTGTTTCCAAAAAGAGTGGCAGGGCTTGGGGAGCTTGCAAGCAAATTACTACAAGATAATTACAAGAGCTGGCAGGCTCCCTCAGCGTTCCCAATGTTCCTGTTCTCCTTTCGTGGTCCACAACCCCCACACAAAGCAATCTGCCTCGGGTCTTGCCGGGAGCACTCAAATAAACCGTGCTGGGCTTCTGAAAGCCACATGTCCACCTCCCCCAGCAGCATGAGTGGCCAGCAGTATCTGGGTCACTTCGTGCCAAAGCACAGGACCCGGAGGAGGAATAATAAACGGGTTTGTTTCTCAATTTTTATCTTCATAGGAGTAACACAACCATGAACTGCACTCTGATGCTGCTCTGTGCCAAAACGCCTCCCCCGTACCAGGCCCTCAGACAAGGCAGTGCCGTGTCCTCACGAGCTGCCCGCTGCTCCCAGCTATGGGGCTCACTGGAGGGCAGGATGTGGCAGTG